ATGAAAAATTACTTGCTTCTTCTTCTTCTTCTTCTATTTTCAAAGAGACTCTATTGACGCGTGCAAATTCTCAATACGAATGAAGGAATAATACTGTGTGGTTATAAATGCATACCAGAATATGAATATGTCAAGGGAAAAGGATATATTCTAATTAGTCTATATAACATCTACCAGCTACGGCAAGTTCGTGTTTTACTTTGTAAAAACTTGTAAGTCCTCGAAAAATAAACTATATGGTATTTCTTAACAATACACGTAATATTTAAACAAAAATAAATCGCCGTATAAAATGCTTTTGCCTCTGAACCAGTAGAGGGACGAAGAAATAGAAGGGAAATCAATGAAAGAAAAATGATCTCTCGCCGTCGGGTCGAGAATTAAATGAAATTCGTCAGACTTGTTTGATTCGTGACTCTTCGAGTTACGATCGCTAACGGTAACTCCACGCGTGTCGCGCGCGCGAACAGTTTCCTTCCTCTCTCTCTCTCTGTGTGCTGTCCATCTCTCTTTAAGGAAACGAAAACAAAAGAACCAAACGAAATTTTTCCGTGGCACGAAATAAAACGCTACACCGTCGTATAATACTTTCGATCGTAGGAACTGAAAAACTTTCTGTACCCCGAGAATACGAAGCGCCCGATATAACATTGAAAAAGATACCTTCTACGGAATCCGTGTAACGAGTAACATCGATCATCTAAGGTTTAGACTGACTGGTAGAAATATCTGAAGAGAATCTAGAAAATAGATCTGCTACTTTCACACGTGTTACCATAGGAAAGAACAAGACGAGGCTATCGCGTAATTGGCAGTTACAGTATCGTAAAATTCCTTTAAAGCTTCTCAACTTTGAAAAAATCTATCATCTAATTTGATGCGGAACATCTATACATATACATATATATACATATATTTATATTTATATTTATATTTATATATATATATATGTATATATACATATATAAAAAGTACGTGAAGATGCGTCTGAAGTAGATCGATTAAAAAACTTTCATATCGTTCACGATACGCTTGTACATGTATAAAGATATAACGATGATACGAACGGACAAAGAACCGTAAGATGAATAATGTGCAACGATTTTGTACGGTGTAATTGCAACGATCTAGATCGAAAACAAGATTATAGGTTAAGGGTATGCGGTACCGTCGCCCGTTAACTGTTCCTATGGTTTTACTGATCCATCGATTTGCGTATCCCACGGCCCAGTGTTGCCCGCGACGCGAGCTCTTTCGGGGACGCGTGGTAACTTCCGTTCTTGTGGAACTGAGGAACGTAGGGTGACGAATTAATGCTGGCCATGTACGCTATTTGCTTCGCCTCCGAATGCAGAGACGGGCTCTGAATATTATCTTGCTTTCTGGCATAGTTCACTCCGTAGTACATGCATTCCCTTGGCGAGACCATCGGCGGTATACAGTCGGAATCGTTTTTCGACACGTCATCTTTCCTGTTGCCGGGCTCCTGATTGTTTAGGAACACTGAACAAGGCTCCGGCATTCTTTGATAATTGCCGGTAGCGCGCGGCGCATACTTCTGATTCAGTTGCATATGCATGTTCGCCTGACCATTCCTTACCACGGAGTCCATTGTGACACCGTACGAGAACGGTACTGTTACCTGCCCATCCTGGGTACAGTTCTGATACTCGTTCGCCAAGGGAACGCGATACTGACCGGCTCTCGCGTGAACGTCCATCCCGTTGTCTTTCATCCTGACGTTCGATTTGCTCCCCTGCATGTTCCCCAAGTAATTGTCCAACTTCATCGGCACAGTAAACGTCGGGTTGCTCTCCAGTTGTTGCATCTGCTGGAACTGCTTGTACGGGTTGTTCTGCATAGACGTCGGCGCAGAGCAATTGATAGTGTCCGTCGTGGTGTTCGACGGCAACACTTGATTAGGGTACGTATTGCAATTGGTGAACGGAGAATTTTGGTACAACGGAGCCGGGTACTGCACCATCGGGTTCCAGCCTTGCATGCACAACTGCGGCACGTAAAACAACGGAGGCTGCATGTAACCTGCTTGTTGAATATTATTGAAATCTGTGCCGCAAACGTGTCGGGAGTTCTGCATTTGCATGTTCAACGGATGCGCAGAATTCATCACGTTTCCGAAGAGCAACATATCTGGAAGCGATAAATTCCATTGATTATGCTGGGCAAGTACAGGATGATTTTGATAACCAGACGGCGGTAAGACAGAGGTTTGAGTGTTATGCATGAGAATGTTGGAAGGTTCACCTTGCATAATGTTCTGATTCTCCATAGTATACGAAGAAGTACTTGGTACTAATGCGCTGTGAGAGACTATAGTATTTTCAGCCGTTTTCCTCGGTACGTTCTGCGCGTTACTGTATTGATTTAAGTAGACTGGGGACATATTATGATAGGGTAAGCCATTTCCCATTGGCATAACTGGGTTGCAGTTATTGTGCGCAGATACACCTTGGGGAGATACGTGCGACACCTGATCCGGTTTCTGCTGATGCGCCACATCCAGCAAATACAAGTTCCTCTCAGAATTTTGAATAGCGACTGGTGCGTTTGCGTACTGAGCATTCGCATTATCGAAGTAACTCTTACTTTGTACACTCTGATGATTCTCCATTTGTTGAGTGTTGCTTAAATTAGGTAAAGTTTGTAAATCAGAGTAATACGAATTTCCAGTGATTTTATGAGACTGAATAATATTATGAGGATGCGACGACGACGATACAGAATGAACTGTATTAACTTCTTGAACATTATCAGAAAATTTCACCGACTTTGCTTCCGGGTTACCAGTGCTCATCTTACTGCTATTATTAATACTAGTATGATCTTGTTCAGTCTTTGCGAATTGTACTTCAGTTCCATTACAAGAAGCTTGCAATATTTGTGATTCTTGTGATATATGAACAGGTGCATTTACAATAGCAGGATCTTTGGTACTATTTGAACAAGAATTCAATGATTTAATGGACTGTACATTATTTACAGTAGTTGAATCTGATGTATCAGTCTTAGTATTACTAGCACCATTAGCTGCCTTATGCGAATATACTGTTACTTTTGAGCCATCGAATTGATTTATTTTATAATCCTTTGTTGAATTATCTGTAACGTATTTTTTATAGTCGTCTGGTTTCTCTTTCCCACTCGAATCTTTGAAAAATGTTTGGAAAGTGCCTGAAGAACGCCTATAAACGTGAGAGTCTTTCTTGTTTTTTTGTATACACCCCTGATCATCTTTTAGATTCCGATCGGTAGTAGTCTTCGTGTGAGATAAATTTTGATAACTTCTTCTACAAGACACAGATCCTGATGATTTGCCTATCATTCTTTCGTTCATACTGCATTCTGAAACATAAAAATCGTTTACATTCCCCGTTGTTTTGTACCGCGAGTAAGTCTCGTATCGCTTATTTTCTTACTTATTTCATATTTTTTCTTTGATCCATTCTCAGTTGAATTAGTTGCACTAATATTATTATTAAAACCAGACACGTGATTAATAGAATTTTCTTCCTCCAGTTTAGTCGTATCCCTTACATACTGCTGTTGCGACTTTATGGATGCTTTGTTTCTATTATATTGATTATTATGCGACTGAGTGCGAGTTATTTGAACTTTGTGAGACTTCCTTATTTCATCTACCTCGTTACTCTTTTTTTGAGATTTATTTTTTTCATCTAGTCCTTCCATAGATTTGCTTCTACTACCACATTCATTGAACGTAGAAAAATGTTGTTTAGAAAACTGTTGCTCCTTCATTTGTGTCCCTTTTCCCATAATTAATTGTCTATTATATCCATTCACTTTGCTACATTTATCATGAAACTTAGACATTGCAGGTACGGATATCTTCCTCGAGTCTGTACTAGAAGTTGATGTTTTATCACTTTTATATAAATTTAATGAATCATCTTGATCTTTGGAACTTTGTTTCGTAACAGTCCAAGACTCTTTTACATTACTTCCTGCAAGTAAAGAAACACTCTTTTGTTGTAACAATAACTTAGGAATGTTGCCAGATTAATTCCGAGATGTTTGAATCTCACCTGATTGCTTTTTGATCTTCTGATCATTAGATTTATTAATATTAATCTTTGTAGTTGCTTTTTGCATACCTCTCTTTGATTCAGATGTAGGTTGAGCTTTAGATTTTGCATTGTTATTATTGTTATCATGACATTGCTTTGAAGTAACACGATTACCTTCATCGGTATCTGACTTTGTTGAGTCAGGAATACTACGATGAATAGGATCCCTAATAATTATACGAACAATGCACCATATAACTCATAAGATGTAATCATTAAAATTAATCTTTTACCTACCATTTGTTAGAAGATTCGTTATACGACTCCTCAGATTTACTTTTCTCTTCTTCCTTAAGTCTAAGGTGCTCCAATTGAACAGTAACAATATTCTCTTGCAAATTCATATTCATTGCCTCTTGCTTATCTAGTCTTTGAACAACTAAAGATTGAGAATTTGGAAATAAAGTACTATTTATATTGACGTCTTCATTCCATGCAGTTTCCATAATACTTTTATCAGACAGCTCGATAACTTTCAAAGTAGACTCAAGTGTATTATTATTTGTAATAATGTTGTTATTATCTATATTTTCACTCATAATACAATCATTGTTTTTTAACTCAGGATTATTCCAAACATCTTCATTTGAAACAACATTGATACTTTGTTGTATTTCTTCGGTTGATTTAGTTTTCAATAGATTACTTATTAATTCTTTCTCATGTGGAAACACGTTTGTGCTACAATACAGAAATAATTTGAGAACATTAGAAGAGATTTACATATTTACTTTTAACATTTTATCTTTTCCTTGGCCATAGAACAGTCAACCATATATTGACACAAATGATGTTTTGACAGAATTATCCTCTTATGAGCAACAAAATAGATCATAATATTATTTGACATTAGAAGCACATTTAATATCGATAAAGAAACTATGTTTTTTTTATTAGTCTGCACAAAATATTTTATTAAAGTTTAAAATAAAAGAAACAAATAGCAAAATAATATAACGGTAATAAACTAAAATGTGTAAAAACAGATATAAACGTACTGGCCTGATAACTGAGAATTACTTTTCAGCCATTGCATATTATGCATCTTGCCTATTACGGCCATCTGCTCTACATCGTATTTTTGTTTTAAATCTTTATCAGTGGAATCCATTATTACCTATTATAAATGCAGTTACAAAAACCTGAGCACAATTACAACAAAATATAACTACCTAAAGATATCCTAGATGGAAAATAAAATGTAAGGTACAGCAATGTTACATTTAAGATGCTTCAAATAGTAGAACAATGTAAAGTACAATTGTAAGAAGAATTAGAATTAATTATAATAGGCACTGTTAAACATAAAATGGTGAACCGTTAGCACGTATTAAGAAGCAAATAATAGAAATCCTCTGTCTTAAATTTTCTGATTTTACGTCAAAATTTCAGTTGCTTCAACGAGCAATAAGAAAACAAATATAACAAAACAGTCACTGTGCTCGACTAATCGTCTTAAACGCGTATGGAACTTAATTAACGTAAGAACCGAAAACAATGACAATAAAATATATTTACGGCGCAATTGGTATCGGATAACTACAACATTTGTAGGTAAATTTTTGGGTCAGTAATATAATTTCACAGCTATCCGCGGGAATGATAATTTGACCAGTTTACCGTATGCTTAAATGTTTAACGGTGCTCGAAATATTAAATGAAAATCTGTTGCAGGAACGTACTCTGGTTCAATCCAAAGATATTAAGAATGACCGACCACCATAAAGGTCGCCATAATACTGATGAACAGGAGGATGCGCAAGTGCAAACAGATGAAAAATCTTCACGGTGAATTGAAAAATAATTAATTTTTCACGACCCATTTATTCGTGAAATGGTTCCAAAGATGTTACGCGGCGTAAATGCAACGTTATACGTTAAACGGGGAATAATCGGTGGGATCGGTAGGTTTATAAAATTCAAATAAAGCATCCTTTAAAGGACATTCTCAAATACGGTAAAATTATTGGTTGTGGCTCGACGAGCCAACGAACCGGATTTATTCGTTCTAAATTACCGACTGCACCAAGGAAATGCAGTCCCTCTATTGACAAACGTGCGAACTGCACTTTTCTTCGAAACTATCCATAGCGAAATGCCGGTTCCCAAGTTCAGTTTATGGCCAGAACCTGGTCGGCGCGTGTATTCGTTCTAATTTTCCTTGTTGAACGGCTTACGATCTGGCGTCCATAATTTTCGGTTACAAATTTTCTATGAAACGGTCGTAATTAGTAAGGTATTGTGTTAGCATACGAAACAGGTTATGCCAGTCTATAAATTTAATCGGCGTCTTTACGATGAAAATGACTCATACCGACGAAATTCGTGAAGTTAATTGATGGTTTGTTCTGTGCGATATCATGCATTCGAACAGGAAACATATTATCGTATTACTTATGCTATAAATTAGCTGTGCATTTCCTTTGCGACGATTGTGTTAGTACACGAAGTTAATTACTACACACAGAGGCGTAAAACCCTTGACTAATCTAACTGTGTGCTGTTTTTTTTCCCCAAACACGCACACGATACTTATCAGTGAGATAGGTCAAGTAGCTATGGCCCTTTAATAAAACCGATCAACATAAACGGCGCTCGGAGGATGTTGGGAAATATATTGTGCCTTAACAGGCCAAGTGTTCAATGATTCGTAAAACAACAAAAAGACTACGTTCTCTCGATGTAGCATTAAACACCGGTGAAATTAAACCTGTGAATTTTATGCGTTCAGATTATGCAATTATTGAAGTGACACGAAGGTTAACACACTTGGCTAACTCACGTGTGCCAATTGCAATTTTTGTCACGCCAAAGGGGTCGAGAATGCAAGAAAAAAATTAGAACAACCCTATTACACCAGCTAAGTAATTATACTCAGGAATTTTAATTTTCTCTTTTGAATTTCTGCTCGCCTCGTTCTACGATTTCTTTTCGTTTCTTTTTCCCTTTCTTTTGTTGAAATTTCTCTCGACGATTATTCCTTCTTCCTTCTGTTTTTGTCATCGGAACGATAAAATTGTTTTCGTCAATATTTTTAATCATCGAATTAGGGGAGCCCCGCGATTGTCTATCTACATTTATGTTCTTTATATTCGCGAAGAATGTGTATTGTTCACGATTTGTACAAAAAGTATGAAGGCTAGCCACTACTTTTCCTCCGCTAATGTGAGATAAAATTCGCGTTCTACCTGACTATATAAGCAGCCGAAAGGCTTTGGTCTCTTTCAGTTTCTCGCTGTATCGCGAAACGCGTATTTATACTGTCAACATAGACAGACTTCTGTTTTTCTTTTATTTTTTTTCATTTTTTTATTTATGATACCGCGGTATAACTAAGAATTCGTGCCCGTGAGAAGCTACGGCGTTACGGTGAAAGTTCCAACTTTCACAGGTAAAAATATTTCGCGTTTTTCATTGATGTAACTATTGTTCATTAATCGACGCGAGTTTTCGATATTGCCATAGAACTTATTCATTTGAAAATTTCAAATATTTCATATTTTTCCAAAGGTGCTCGACTTACAATGGCCCTCGATATGATAGACCGGAAATGGCAATCGAAATTTGACAAACTGAACAAATTTATTAAGAAACGAATACCGATCATTCGGTGGTTACCAGCGTATAATTCGGAAAAATTTTTAAGTGATGCTATTGCTGGAATTACCGTCGGCCTTACTGTTATGCCGCAAGGACTCGCTTATGCAACACTGGCAGGATTAGAACCACAGGTCACAGAAATATTTAAAAAAAAAATGTTATGTGAAGTTGTGATTTTTAATTCTTCTTCTATTTCGGTCGTATAGAACTTATAAAATTATAAAATTACAGTATGGTCTCTATTCTGCATTCATGGGAGCTATGGTATATATAATATTTGGGTCATGCAAAGACATCACAATTGGACCAACTGCACTTATGGCACTCATGACTCATGAATATGTTCAGGGTAGAAATGCAGATTTTGCAATATTACTTGCATTTTTGTGTGGTTGTTTACAAATTTTGATGGCCTTTCTACGTTTAGGTAACATTGAATAGTTGTTACACAATTAAGAAGTGCAACTTGTATGGATGGTCTGATGAATTTTATAAAATGTTGTAGGAGTACTTATAGACTTTATATCAATACCTGTCACAGTTGGTTTCACTTCTGCCACATCGGTAATAATTGTGGCTTCTCAGCTCAAGGGACTTCTAGGATTAAAGATCTCCTCCCAAGGATTCTTAGACACTTTAACAAAAGTTTCCAAAAACATTCATAAGGCTAGTCTGTGGGATACTGCAATGAGTTTTTCTTGTATTGCTGTCTTGTTGATGTTTAGGGTAATCAACATATATAATCTTATCAACTATAATCTATTTTATTGTAGATTTTAATTGTGTTGTTTTTACTATATAGAAAATGAGAGACATCAAATTTGGCTCCACCAATGAAAAGCCAAATAAATATCACAAGGGATTGACAAAAATGGTATGGTTAATATCTACAGCTAGAAATGCTATTATTGTTATTGTTTGTTCTGCTATCGCATACAAGTTCCAATCGACTGAAACTGGTTCTCCATTCATTCTCACTGGCCCAGTCAGATCGGGTCTGCCATCTTTCAAGTTACCTCCTTTTTCTACACAAATTAGAAACGAAACCTTGAGCTTCACTGGAATGTGTTCAGAATTAGGTGCATCTATAGCATTGGTTCCTATAATTGGGGTACTTGCTAATGTGGCAATTGCAAAAGCATTTGCAAATGGTGATAAAGTAGATGCTACTCAAGAATTAATAACATTGGGAATTTGTAATGTGCTTGGGTCTTGTGCAAGTGCAATGCCAGTTACTGGCTCGTTCAGCAGATCTGCTGTAAACCATGCAAGCGGAGTAAAGACACCAATGGGTGGTTTATATACAGGAATGTTGATATTGTTAGCTCTGAGTCTCCTAACACCATACTTTTACTTCATACCCAAAGGTAACTTAACGATTACTTTCTTATTTATGCTTGTACATCAAGATTATGCATTTTTCTAACAGTATGCATTTCTCAGCTTCCTTGTCAGCAGTTATTATTTGCGCAGTGATGTATATGATTGAATACGAAGTAGTGAAGTTAATATGGAAGACCAGCAAAAAGGACTTGATTCCAATGTTTGTCACATTTTTATTCTGTCTTCTTATTGGTGTAGAATATGGAATATTATTGGGTGTGGGAACAAATCTTATGTTCTTACTGTATCCCTCTGCACGTCCAACTATACATGTCGATGAATGTACTGTAAGTACTAACTTACATTAATGCTATACAATTCATTATTCTGTTCCATTTCATATCTTTATATTAATTCATACTGTGTGTGTGTGTGTGTCAGACTACTTCTGGAGCTGAGTACCTTTTGGTAACACCAGGAAATAGCCTGTATTTTCCTGCTGTTGATTTTATTAAAAAATCAGTTGGTAATGCTGGAATAAAGCAGGGTTCGAGTCAAATACCAGTTGTTGTTGATTGCAGATATATGTTGGGTGCAGATTTTACTGCTGCTAAAGTAAATACTTAGGCACAACATCATTATGTATACGCAGTTGAGTAAGCAACTACCATCGTGCTTTACATATCTTTTGTCACAGGGAATCGCAACATTAATAAATGAATTTAATAATCGAAAACAAGGTCTCTACTTTTACAATCCTCGGTCGGATGTAATTGCAGTGTTGAAAGGAGCATGTGGAGAAGAGTTTCAATATATCTCTACTCAAGAGGAATTATCATATTTGTTATCAACACATCAAGGTTTTGATACAGATATATACATGTGTACTTACATAATTAAATATCCTGTTACACTGTCAAATATCCATTTTTGTTCGTGTTTCAGAGAAAGCATCGCAACAGCTGTTAGAAATAGCACGCGACAAATCGCACGAACCTTTAATGCTGGGCAATCGTGAAGTTATCCATCGGAATGGACGTTCGTGTCAAGAACTTAGCGAAGTCACGACGACCTTGTTGCATGCTACAGCTAGTTAAAAGACAGTAGCGTTGTTATATTTCAAAAATTTCATTTTGATTTTTTCCCATGGACTGAAAATTTTACTTGTGCATTTCATGTGAAGAAATTTATCTTTACAGAATTTTATCGAACGTTTCTCAGTATTAAGTAATTTAATATTCGTTATTACGAAATGACAAATATATTTATTACATGCAAGTTACTAGATAAGTCATCGATAATATAATGCAGTTAAGAAAATGGATTATATGACAGATTTTATAATATTGATAAAAATTGTATATATATATATATATATATATACATACATATATATACATATACATATGCAATTATGTGTAAAACCTTTGCGTACGTAAAAGACATATTCTTGTATCTCTTGTTTTCTATGTTTGTTGTGTCAATCGGAAATAAATATTTAGATGTAATTTCCATTTGTGTAAATGTATACGAATGATACGTTTATTACAGATAGGGGTAACAAGTTTATTAAATCGTAAACATAATTACAGGTCCGTTTTGAATGTATATTAAAAGTAATAAGTTAATGGAGAACTTTCACGTAGAATAATGGCATGAGTAAGGCCATGAACTATATTCTTTTAACGTTACAACGATGATAATTCGTACGCTTATTTTATAATTATTGCTGCTTCCTGATCTATGCTTTGTACAGGTTTACTTGAATGTTTATACAGTCTTCATTTGAACGCGACATAATTATAAAGATGTAATTACACGTGATGGAAAGTAATATTGCACAATTCGTCGAAAACGTATAACACTCCGAATCATCGAACAACTATCTCCGTAATGGAAACGATTACATGTTTATCGCATTACCAGAAATATTAACTCCAATATATATATTAGACTCTTAAATTTTGTTTATACAAGTATCGCGCTCGAGTAGAGTAATTGCGATAAGTGGAGCAAACTTAGCGATACGCGTACGTCAATTTCAATATTAATTTTTCTTTTTTTCTCAAAACTCGATAAGATGAAACGCACCGAATATCTAAAGAGGTGAACGAATGTCGTTCGTAAAAAGACTGTTTTTTGTATCGAAAACGCATACAAAAATATATTTGATTCTCGGAAGTGTTGTTTCGAGACGGGAGCATTCGAAATCTACATAGGTACTTATTACAAAACTAATTTCAGTACAGTCCCGACACAACGTCCGTAACTTTCCCACGATTTCCGGCCGCGGAGGATGTCGTGTTCCTCCTTCCAACCGGGCTCTCCTTGATTTGTTGGTTTCCCGAATATTTCCCAGCGTTGAAACGATTCTTTCCGAGACCAAACGTATCGTAAGTTCGCCCGGCGAATATTCCGGAATCTTTCGGCCTATTAGAGAAGCCGGTGCCGATGTTTTCGTGTTGGCTGAACGAGTTGTGTCTCACCCCATTCTTCGTCAGTATCATGGGAGTACAATCAAACTCCGATTCACTGTTCCTCTTAGCGGAATTCAATTCGTTCTGACAATTCCATTCATGATTTCTCTGCTCCTCGTACAGCTCGTCGTTTCGTAGCTGCTTGTTGTTCACGTTCGCGGAATAAAATTCATCGTTTTTCAGGTGTTTGCTTCGCGAATCCTCTTTCTTCCCCTTCGTTTCCAGGTCGTAACAGGTTCTCGAGTCCTCCAGCCTACTCGACTTCGACCTGATCAGATGCCTGTCCTCCCGAGACTTCTTCGGCTTCGACTGATGCTTGCCCGAGTCCCATTGACTCTTCTCCTCCGTGATAACTATGTCGACCATCGAGTCGAGACCCTCGTCGATTCTGTCCAGAGACTTGGTCAACAAACTGGGAGACTTTGGCGCTTCGATGGAGCCCGGTGTTCGAGTCAGCAACGGTTCCAGGTTGAAATCCGTGACGTAGAACAATCCGCTGTCGCTTCCTCCTCGCGAGGAGCATTGTTCCTTCCTCGCGACGTGAGAGACGTGGTGGAAAGACTCGGACCTGCGCATTCTATTTCTCGAATTCTCTTCGAAGAATTGATGCTCCGGCTTGCTCAGGTTCTCGGAGCTGCCCGGTCTTCCATAACTCTGGAGACTTCGATGCTCGTCGAACGAGTTCAGACTCTCGAACTTCCTGATGTGGCTCTCCACTCTGCTTCGCCCGGATCTCCTTGACCGCGGGCTCGAAGCGTTCGATTCCAGGTAATCGTGGCTGGTCGATCTGCGAAGTAGCTTCCTCTTTTCCACTTCGCTTCTGTATTTCGAGTTATGCCTCTGCACGAAGCCACCCTCTTGCCTGCCGCTCGATTTCGAGTCGTTGGTCCCGGTGCTCTTCAGCCTGCTCGAGCTTTCGTAATTCCTAATCGTCTTTTTGTCCTTGGCGTCGCTTTCGCCGAAGTGCCGAAGATCCTCGAAGCTCTTCTTCAGTTTGCTATCGTTGTCGTCGTCCAGTTCGTTCCTCGATTGCTTCTGGAAGTGATCGACGTCGGTGCTCCTCATCTGCTCCTCGTACGTCTGGTTCTTGCCGTTGTACTTCAACCGGGAAGCGCTGAGAAGCGAGTCGCTACCGTCGCCCAGAGTTTCCTCTTCAATCTCCTCGTCGTGGGAATTATAGGTCTCCTCGTGATCCGGGAAGTCGCAGTGCCTCACCGCCATGATAGTGGACAAACAAGGAGGCGACCTCCTCGGCGGTTGAGGATGCAGTATGGTCGGAACGATGGCGTCCTCGATGTCGGGTCCCTTTATCACGATCTTCACGCTGCCCTCCACCGAAGATTTCGAGATTCTACGCGTGTCGGCGTTCAGACGCCTAGCGCTGCCGGAGTCTGTGCTGTAGTCTCGATCGTTGCCGAAGTAAGTCACCTGTTCACCCTTTATCACGCTTTGGGAGACGGTGGAGGCCGCGTTCGACTTTGGAATCTTCGACTCGGACTGTTGGTCCCTCTTCAACACTCTGTCGAGCAAGTAAGACTCCGAACTCTTGAAGACCTTGTCCTTGGAAGAATCCTGATCCATCCGCTTCTCTTCGTGGCTCTGATCGCCGAACTCTTCCTCCGCGTCCTTGACGATGATCCGGAGCTCCTCGATGACGTCGTCTATGGTGGTCTCCTGGTCGTTGTCCGGCGACGAGCTGTGCTTCTGATGGTTGGCCCGCGACTGATGCTTCGTGTTCTCCGGACTGCTCGACCTTTCCGACGAGCTGATGCCCTCGTCTTCCGCGTTCGACGAGACTTTCGGCGACTGTTTAGCGCCGAGCACCGTCACCTTCTCGCGATCCTCTAAGTTGTAATTGTTCAGTTTCTCGACTTGGAGCTGCTGCAGCTCGGCCTGGAGAGCCGAAACCTTTTTGCTGAGAATTCTACAGGTTTCCTCGGCACGTACCACTCGTCTCTGCAGGGCGTCTACGTCGACGCAGTTGTGCGTCCATTTCTGAACCTCCTTGTGTAGAAGCTCGTTCAGCGCGTCCTCCTCCCTGCCGTCCAATTCTTTCAGCCATTCTTGAAGGACCTGCGGCTCTAGTCCAGCTTCGCAGGCTTCAGCCTGGGCAGAAAGAAACGCGCCGTTGCTCGTCTGGACCGTTTCGCGTTCGTTCGAACGGCGAGAGGACGCGGAGCCGGACTCACCTGAATATATAACCTGGTCTGCGTCCGTGGTGCGGATTTCAGGAAAGCGTTCAAAAACGAAACCCCTGCGACTCTCAGCGCAATCGCTGCTCTGGGAGCCAGGAGCGCACCGGCGAGGAATCGGAATCTCCCGCCCTCGCCGTACTTGAGCCTCAAAGTGGAAACCGCTTCCGAGACGGCTGCGTGGCCACCTGGAGCCTGGCAGACCTTCGTCAGTAGCTGGAACACGATAATGAAAGGATTTTCATGGCGTTCTAGTTGCCGGTTAATGCCCGTCAACAGTTCCTTCAGCTGGCCGAAGATAACGATCTCCTTATTCTCATTATATACCCCTCCGAGACTGGCAGGTTTCTGTGATCACGTGCCGTGGAAGTAATTACCCCAGTTCGGTTAGTCAACGTCTGCCCGTAAGTGCGCTTCCTCGCCGGTCGGCGAATTAAAACGAATGAAAAGGGATCGCGGGGAGGACGAGCACGCCGCGCGGCGCGAAACAGTTTGCAAATGAAGCCGGCCGAATAACGTTCGGGATAGACGATAAAAACTGGTTCCGAGGACGGACACTCTCGAAATAACGGGGCCCGGAGGCGGCCCGGTGGACCGAGTTTGCTGGAAACGCGAGTTTACGAGTGGCCCGATGAGTCAGGAACGCCCGGGATCGTCCGCCGATCGAAACAACGGGGTCGACCCACTATCCGAGCCGCGCCGAGGCGCTTCGCTCCTCGAACCCTTTCAATTAACCGTTCTGTTTACAGTTCGAAAAGACGCGCGCGTCGTTATTAAGTCGAGTCGACGGTGGTCCCGGCCGAAACGAAAAGACGACCGGCCAGGGGGAGTCCGTTCAAACGCGGCGTACACGTGCAGCTCTTAATATTATTGCAAACGACGAGGAAGCGATAGATACGCGATAAAACCGTCGGCTAAGTTTACAGATATAATCGGTTTAGCAGCGTTAATATGAGATACGCGTTAAATCCAGTCCTCGATGGAAGACGAGTAGAGTCGGGTATATCTCCATCGATCTATTAACGGCGATGTAAACGATAAAACTGCGATAAGACGACAACGAGAGAGGGATAGGAGTGGGGGGAGATTTTCAGGATCCCTATAAGACATCCATAAGATCCCGTCGAGTTCGCTTGGGTGGAGCGTAATCCGCCGGGAGTATGATTCGCGAGCCGAGTTTCTTTTTTGATTAACAGTACCGCGGCACTCGGAACGGAAGTGACGATTGTTACCTGAAGAGCTAGAACCCGGGACCGGTTCAAGCTACTAGTCAGACAGACTGCCAGAGCAAGAAGACCGGGTTGGGCTTGCACCAGGAGCCTCGCCGCGTCGGTGCATCGTTCGGCGCAGGCAGCCAGACACTCGACGCAGCCCAGCTCGTCCAGAGCTGCTCTTCTGGTGCCAACGCGCGGACCCGTGTGACCGGAAGAGGGTGGAGAACTTTGAGCGAGTTGAACACCCCGGAGGGTCTCCAGCAGCAGGGTGATCCCGTCGGCGGGGGGCGAGGCGAATTCCTGAACGAAGCTGCAAATTAATATTAGTATTCACTTCAAAATGAATTTCCGTCCTTAATCCGGCAGGATTAAAGTGCTCCCGGTTGTATCATCTCGGGGGGAACATCTTGCAATTATCTTACAATATCCCGGGAAGATAAATTTTTATCGGCTGTTCTCGCTTCTCGTCTCGCGGTTTTTCTTTTCGCCATTACGAGACGCGAGGGGTGTTTAGTCGAACGGAGTCCGGGAACGGCCGGGGAAAGAGGCACAGGCGAGCCTGGATTTTTCGCAATCGATTCGAGTGTATGTACGCGGTTCGCAAAAGTATTTCCCTAATTGTGGAGAGGTGGACCGGAAGCATCTGTAACGGTACGAGCGCGGCCGTGACTGTGAGCGCTGCTCGGCGGGCACCGGACAGCGCAGCAGCCATTGAACCGCTGACAGAGGGAACGAAAAAACCGTAATTACATAATTATGGGACCCCGCGGTAAACAGAAAAAGCAATCCGGTTTTATGAGGTGCGCCGGTGAGCGAGTTCCTTTGAGGTTGTCAACGGAGCGATTATAAGTGTGACGCTACAAGAACCCGGTAACTATTAATGAAGTTAATGCCGGGATAGGGGGAGGAGCGTAAACTTCAATTAAATTACAAGGTTTCGCAGTCACTGAAAACATCGTTATTAAGGTGAAAACCGCGGGACACGAGAAAGATCGCGGCGCAGGAACGGCAACAATCCGATCGGTATCGTTCGCGCCGATAGGTTCCGATAGAAACTCCGCTCGATTTTCAATCGGTCTCGGATGTCCACCGACGATTCTTCTCTCCGCGTACATTCCTCCGGTTGCGATATCGCTTTACCAGATATCGCGTTCGTCGGTTGTCTTCGAGCCGGGAACACGATTGGACGCGATCGTTTTTCCCTTTACGGAGGTTCCGCGTCGCCTGTGCGCACCTGCGCGACGCGGTCTTCGCGTGGACGGGCGCGAGAACGAGGAAACAGATATTATTTACTGTCAAAGGAGTGACGGTGTCCATACGGTAGAAGTTTGTTTCAATGCTGCGGGTTTTCTTCTCGAACGCGAGCCCGACCCGTAATGGACGCTATCTCTGATCGTGTCACGTTAGTTTCCTTAATTATACAGCTGAAACACGTGTAGCGTGGTGCACCAGCCGGTCTGTCAGCATCGTATACGCCTAGCAGCAATCTCTCCCCGATCGGAGCCGTGAGAATCTTCCTGGCGAGCGGCCTTTTGTCACTTTCTAGAATCCTCCTTTGTGTCCCTTGCGCAATCCTCTTCCGCCAGGACTCGCTCGCGAATCCGTCGAACGTTTCCCCCGCGGAAAATCTTATTTGCACACCGGCTCGGCTCGTCGAAAGCTTATCTAATCCGGCTCGATAACGAGCGGTCCGCCTCCCCCCGAGGATCGCCTAATCTTCTGGTTGCGACTGAAATATATTTTTAGCCGCTGGTTATCCGGCGCGCGTGACACGCGCAGAGTCGCAAAAATATAGTGGTAAATAGGTACGTGGAGACGATAAACTGGCCAGCACCGGGCAGTCACGAGTTTTTTCATCCGCGGCGACGAAGGGGACGTTTATCGCGGACGAAGGAACGTCTTCGGATTCCGCGCGTCCCTCGAAACCCGTGTAAGTAGCGCTCGGCATTTTTTTTCCACGTTCCTCCCGGACAAACAATCGTAAATCATACGCTGCTTGGGCCCCGGATCGAAGAAAGGAAAAGACGGGAAAAAGAAAATGACATTCAGAGGGACGTTCGTCCAGACAGCGACTCTATAAACACCGTGTATAAGCGCCGTGCACGCGAGTTGAATGCATGCAAATGAGTATTAAAACGTTTTCTATGTACCCGGCCTATGTACTCGTCGCCTATTTACCCGCGGGTAAACAGCCGCCAGAAGGAACGGAGAAAAATAAAGAACGAGAGAGAGAGAGAGAGAGAGGGAGAGTCCCTTCCAACAATAGACGCATTATGTTACCTGGCGTATTATGCATACCGTGCGAGGTATCGTGATGGCCGGTTGTTCGCGCGTGTGCGCACGTACGTGCGCGACATTCGCGCCGTGAACACCGTGGATCACCTTTGTTGACCGCGCCTGAAAAATTGCCGGATGGACCTTTCATTCTTCGGCCGCCCGAAGAAAACGAAAATTCGCGACGGGAGAGACGTCGCGCGAAACGACCACCCTTTGACGCCCGACTCACGAGGAAACTTATCGGACCCGGAAATTCCAAAATGATGAAACCGCGCGTAAGCGGAGTAAGTCGAGATCCTCGCGATTCGCTTCGATCGAGTTCGAGTAAAATGCTCGCGTTCCTGTTCGAATTTGACGGGCCTGCGGATGCGAGAGTCTAGTTCGCCCCGAGGATTTCACGAGGCTCGCGTGCGTTCTAAGGCCAATGAAAAATCGCGTGTCGGATTGCGAGAGGACAAAGAGGAATTTGTTCCAAGGCGAACGACTCAGCGCTATCGAAAACACGCTTTCCTGGAGACGTCATGCGATGCCTCGGTCCCGGGCTGCTATGGGTGCATTATATTACACCCTGCATTATGCAGACCACGGCGTACACGTAAGAATGCCTTCGGCGGACGGGGCATGAATATCAAGCGTTCGTTATTGCCCGGTGTGTGGGCACACCCTAAAATTCACGACGATGGACGACGCGCCGCGCAGAAGAAAACGAAAGGACGTAACGACGTCTCGGGCGTTTCTCTTTCACGCGATACTTTCGGCGTCCGCCGTAAATGGATTGCATAATTTACAGCCGCGGACGCGTCTTTCGTCGCGCGGCTTTTATCATTCTTTCTAGACGGTGACCAGCGCGACGCCGGACCGATCGTCCGACGACAGGATATTCTCGTAGCGGCGTTGCATAAAGTTTCACCGACGCCGAACGCGTACAAGGAATGCGCCGGAATCGGTTCGAACGTTCGGCCGGGGTTTTTCTCTGGTTCCGAAGGAAACGGCGCGCAAGAACCGAGCCGCAACTTCGTTTCTAATTACCATGAGTCCACCGCGTGCGTTTGCGCGAGCGTAAATCGTTTACGGTGCCGCGTTCCAACAATATATTACGCTGGCTGCCAATAAAGGGAATTGCGCATCGACGTGACTCACTTTCTAATAAAGACGAATAAAAGTGAATTCGTAATTAAAACTCGGGCTGGCGGGAAAGGACGGAGCCCGGTTACGAGCAGATGAACCGAGGCGCTCGAGCGCGGCGAGATTATTTCCTACGAGCGTCTCTTCCGCGAGGCCGGGGACGACGAGCATCATCGGGAACCGCGAGAATATTCAGCCGATCGCGAAGCATCGCCCGGCACCGCGCTTGCCAGGAGGCAGAAACGGGATCTGATTATCGCGTGAAAAAAGAAACGAGACTTCCTTGGTTTCCATTAGGTAGGAAGCGGTTACGCGTTCGCTGTTACGCGAAGCGGAAGCATCGTGGGGTATCGCGGGTTCGGTGGCCGGTCGAGGCTTCTTCGGCCGGTGTTGATATTCCGTCGCGCGGAAAGAAGAAAAGAGGAAACAAGGCGCTCTCCCCTCCGCCTCTCGGTGTCTCTCGCTCTTTCTCTTTCACTCTCTTTCTCTCTCTCTCTCTCTCTCTCTCTCTCTCTGGCTCTATCTTGATGCCTATAAAATAAGTACGTTAACTCGCGCACCGAACATACGTGTTTTTCCGTAACCGGCCTCGCGTAATTACCTGGTTCAAGGTTCATGTTAATTAAAGTACACTGCGCGCGGAATTCAGAGTTTCCACGCCGCGATGCTGGGCGCGAGACAGCCTCGCGATTCAATCAACCGGGAAAATGTATCAGATTATCGTTATCTATGTCCGATTTATACATGGAAGTCGTAGCCGCGGTTACGATGGTATACAACCGGCTCCAGATGCAGTATGGTTGCTTTCCTTGCTGTTGCTGTTATCGTTACCGATAGATTCGGCAGTAAAGTAGGAACGTGTTCAAGGTCGCATCCTCGAGTAATCCGAGTCGTTTGCTCCGACGACGGGTTTTGCTTTCAATTAGTTACCGACGAAATTCGTTCCGGGCATACAAAGATCCGCCGAACGTTCGTGAATGGAGATGGGCGTTCATTGAAAGAACGACGACCGGGGAAAAGGGCGTTTTAAAGAGAAGCGACGATCGACAAAAGACACCAGCGGCGAGGAATATCAATGAAACGCGACACGCCTGATTCGCATGACAAGGAACCAGAGAGAATGCCGAGGAGCGGCAGGAGCACGCGAGTCCTTTCGAGCGGTGCACGCGCGCGAATCGCGTGTTTCTTTCGTCACTTCGTCGAGCAGCATCGGGGAGCGTCGGCGCAATAGTCGGCGCAATAGTCGGCGCAATAGTCGGCGCTATCATCGGCGAATCACAAAGCTCTTTAATTAGAAAGATACTCGAGTGTCTAATTAAACGAGCCTTCGAGTTAATAGTCGATAATAACTCGCTGCGCTGCGCCAGTTCTTTTCGTTGCTTCTTGCTCGGCCGAGTCGGTGTGCGGTTTAATAACACGTCAGTTTTCATTGACGGTCTAACCGGAGGAGCACGCGAATGCGCGAACAGGCACTGACAAGTGATCCGCCGACGATGCCGGACGGACCGCTGCCAGACGAAGAAAGTTCCCTCGGTCGAGGGAAAGCGGCGTTAGCCGTTTCATCTCGGGATTTTATATCATAGGATCGACCACGCGAGTCGCACATTCCTGCTCCGGTTGAGCATCGCCGCTCGTGGCGTGTCGCGGCGGCTCACCTGCTCCTTTTTCCCCCGATTTTTCCACCGGATCGAATTCTCCTCCATCCGCTCCAGATATCAAACACGAACCGTTCGAGAGAGTCTTCGACGACGTAATTAACCTCGACAGGCAATTATTATGACCGGTACGAAAATAAATCGATTCCGTCGGTCGGCCGAGGGGAAGGCGAGTAGTAGGTACACGCGCGACCCGGCAAAAAACCCCGTCTAAACGTTCTAATAAGATCCCGACGAATGATACGACCAGCGATCGTGGAAATCGAGGATGCGCCGTGACCAAATCGATTTGCGGATCGAGCACACACCGTGCGCCGCGCCGTTCTGCCGGTCCCGGGTACAGTTATCCGTAATATCGGTATTCGTTTATCCGTGGCTGCTCGCTCGCTCGCTAGCTCGCTCGCGGGTTATCCGGTCGAGCGGCGTGTTATGACCGATGCTCTCCGTATGTGGGACAATCGCCATATGGTCTCGCAGCCGTCAGTACTGTAGAAAATCCGGTGACGGTGTGGAAAAGATGACGAGTCGGAAAGAGGCTAAACGCTCGACGTTTCCAACGATCGTCCTTAATCGTGTAACGGCGCGGCGTTCGGCGTCGATATCGCCTCTCTCTTTCTCTTTAAGCCGTTTATAATGCGCTCGTAGCTCGCTGGAATTACCGGAGGGCACGTTGTAACTTTAATTTTAGAACGGCCGCAAGCCTCCGCTCACAAATTACGCGCCGGTCGCGTGGTCGGACGCGAGGCCGAGCAGAAGGAGGCTGCGAGCCGATGCTATTCCCTCGCGTTTCTGCGACTACGCTCGCATCCTCTTCGCGAGGATATCGCGACCAGACGCGACTTCTCCATTCTCTTTCTTCCCTTTTCCTCTGAATCTTCTCGAAGCCGCCGCGCCGCGATTAGAATCGTTTTAACCTTAATGCGTTGACCACCGCGAGAATCTTCAGCGTTTTAATCTTACTTATTCTTTCGTAGCAAGGACACACGGTGTTCGAAGTAATTCATGATTTATTCGGCAGCTTTCAAGTGGCCAAATAGTTTTGTTCGCTACTTGGCGGAAGCTCTGGTCACATTGGTGACTATCGTGCCAATGAACGCGTGAACTGAGTCTAGCAACTTGGTTTCTTCCCTCATTGCTGGGAATCGATCGTATGTCCCGTTCATCGGAAATCTTTCGACGCTGCACGTGCGACAAAATTGCGACACGGCCGAACGAGCACGCTGATCGGGCTGGAATTAATCCGAGGGCATCGCTTCTTTTCTGGGTCCCTCGGCTTCGAGTCCACGGAATAAATTCGTTCTTCCTCGATCATCTTCGTCGAATAGAATCCGTTTTCGTACTTCACGGAAACGTTACTTGCGTGAAATCCACCAAGTTTGCGCCGTGCGTTCCCGCCGAGGGAACTCGAAGTGCGTACACCATGAAAATAAGTTCCATTTGAAATTCTCCTCGCGAACCATCTGTAGGCATCGGTGTAATCGTAGAATCTGTTTGGCATCATGGAAAAAACACGCACCGGAATAATCGAGGAAACGAAAGTCTCTGGCGTGTGGTTGCAATTAGAGGAGCGAAACGAATCAAATAGTTTCTTTTTTCGTGTTCCACGTCTGATTTCTGTCTGCGAACGAAACGATGGATCTAACGAGCTCACGAGTGCAAATGAAATTCGATCCGTCCGTCCGTTGATGGGAATTCTATCGCGGAGGAAAGAGTAATCCTGGTTTCTTGATGATAGTCGATTAGCCGGGTGAGTAACGATCGGAATTTTTCGTGTTAGGAACGAGCAGGAACGACGGCCGCTTCTGGCGATAGAAGACAAACGTCGCCGTCGCCGAGGAGGGACGTTCAGCAGAACGAATCCACGCGTTTAAGTCCCGATCCTTAATCATCCCGGCGCCTAACGGGGACGAGACTATTATTTTGCCCTTCGTTGGACGCGATACGTCGGACGGGGAACTCGACTCGGTCCGATCTCGTTGCCGAGCTTTTTTGCACGGCTCGAGTCACGAAGGGAACTAGTTTCTTTGTTACTTCTATCAGCGGCGTAGCGAGCGGCGTAGCGAGCGGCGTAGCGAGCGGCGCAACGAGCGGACTCGCGGCAAGAAGAACCGGGGGCTTTATTACAGGAAATGGAGAACGGTTTTTGTCAACGGTTAAGAGATACGAATTGAAATCGCGGATTGATGATCTTTCGCCCCTTATCACCGTTAAAGAGTTAATACAATCTTCGACTGGACGCGCCGACAGGTAAATTGAAATCACGGCTGTCCGGCCGGGACGTCGAAACGGCACCGGAAACGCCGATCGCGCGGACAGAAGTTGCTCGTCGCCGGCGAACCAGGGATTTCTGCGCGAGGTGAAAATGTTTTATTCAATGGGGGCAATTAATAAAGTTTACCGAGGCGGGAGACCGGATAAAATCTTCGCCGCGTTTGCAGCTCCCTCAGGTGTACGCCGCGTTCCTCCTTGATCTTAGTTAACTGTACAACGAAAAAGAAACACACGAGGGCCACGAGGATGACGACGACGGAGAAAAATCCGTCCCGGCGGCGTCTCCATTAACGATCGCGGAGATGACAGGGGGAGCCAGGGATCAATGTTTCCGGATTTAACGCGGCGGAGGCGAGCCGTAATGGCCGGCGACTAATCTGTGCTCGAATCGGGAAAGAATTTTTATGAGCCTACCGGGAGATTCAGCCGCGTCTTCGGTCCTCGTTCCCTCGTAAAAAAACACATGAAAAGTAACTGTAAATCCGAGCCGGCTTATCTTCCTGTTTGATTGGTATCGAGGACTTTCGAGGTGTACCAGTAGTTAGTTCCAGCCGGGGAGCGTAAATTCAACCGGGCCGATCGGTTATTCTAATTGTTCACGGACAATCAAGTGCACGAGCACTTCCGGGTGCCCCTCCGGCGAGCCACCTGCGCCTCGGTTTCCCTCGAAAGTGAACTTTCGTCCTTCGTTCCGTGCAGATGTATACTCTTTTCCTAGTTTCGTTTTGCGCGAGGAGAAATTCCGCGAAGCGATCCTTTACGGCTGATAATTAACGGTACAGATAGCCGAAGCAGGAACGATTTCACATTTTCGCGCGAGCCGATTCGCCGATTCGCCGATTCGCCGATTATGCAAAGCGGACTGGTTCGCTCGCGTTCCGTGCCGGGACTCCCGGCGTTTCTGGGATCCGAAGTTCACCAACCTTGGGAACGCCAGCCTCAGGTCCGTTCGCAGCTTGTTCAGAAGCTCGCTGACCGAGGTGAATTGTCTCAAGGTCATCTCGCCGCTTCCGGAAGCGTAACCGGAACTCGAGCTGGTCGTGGACGGCAGGGTACCGTGCGAGTCCTGAACGCTTCCTAATGGACGTCTTCCCCATCGTCTCAGCGCGATAGCGTAGTCCTCCGCGTTGTACGTAGGTGGTCTTAATCGCTCCTGTGAACAGAACAGAGACCACGCGGTTTAATGGCCGGCTATCGCGGCGAATCCATTAAAGCGGTAGTTCTTAACCTTTCTCCTAACCAAGGAGTGCACGATCACTTTTCAGAAAGTAACCGAGCCACGAAACCTCCGCGGAACGTTAACGTTACCGATACCATGCGTCCAACGATCGAAACAAGTCTGCACCTGTCCCTCGCTCGAAATTATAGGGAGGAAAATGATGAATTATGCCGTATCCTGTACTTACTCTACTTCATTCGAATGAAAGTTTAAGCGCCACTGCATTAAAGGCAGCACTTGACAGAAGCGAACTAGTTTGCTCGACGAGCGTTCCCTGAATTTCACAAAGTAACATAAACGGAATACATCAGAACGCGCGATAAGTTTCACCGGGACGCTTTCATATTCGTCGAGAATCTTCGGAACAGCGTTCGTTTATTTGGTATAAACGCGCCATTAGAAACGTCGCTGGACCGAATCGCGAAAAAAGGAACACCGTGGAGGAATGATTCGCGCCAACGCAAAAGAGAGATCGGCCAATCGGTCGTGTGATATCGCACGGATCCCAGTCGAACGAATCGCGAAATCGCGCGCATTACGGTCGCGTCCTAACCAAGATCGCCAAGTATCCAGGCTGAAGGGTGGGAGCTGGTACGAAGTTAATTTCACGGCGCTTCCAACCATAAATCGATAGAATTATAGTGGTTATCGGTCCGGTTCACGCAGCCCGGCTGCCGCGCAGCGTCGATTGATTCCACGCTGAAACATCCCGATCGATCGCGGGAATTAATTTATCGCCTCTTTGCCCAGTTCTGGCGATTTTATGGGAACGCGGGAGCTGGAACAGTTACGCTTCGGAATTTGCCGGGCGAGTAACCTCCCGGAGTCGCGGAGTCCTCTCGGCCGAGCGATCCCGAGGATGGACGAGGGAGGCGGGGATGACTCATCGCGTCTTCTCCCGGAGAACGAATTCAGGAATTTAACGATCCGTTTATCCCGAAGGTCGCGCGCGTGCAGCGGCTTTCTAAACGACCGATCAAGGATACCGCGGATATCTGTAACACACGGGAACGCCTGGCCCGATGACCGCGGTTTTGCGCCGCGCGGTTAATCGGTCAACGCTAGCAAGAAACGGAGTTTCTATTTCGCGGCCGCTTACCCTTGACGCGCGAAAAGCGAGCGGAACCGCGAAGCCACCCGGCTAATTTCTCCGTTGTTCGTTCTCGGATCGGAGCGGATCGAGGAGGAATCCGGTAGCGAGGATCTTTCGACAGCCGATCGACGGTCGGCGACGAACGGGTTCGTTGACAGTCGCTATCGATCACCTGCCCGTTCGTTACTCGTACCGACGAGACGCGGACGATGATGGCCCATCAGCGTCCGATCCGCGCCACGGGCTCGCTAACGGTCGCGGTCCTTTTTCTCCTTTCTTTCGAAAACCGATAATTAGAGTTCCTTTCCGGGATATGCGCGCGCGATATCGTGGACAGGGCCGTAAATTGTCTAATGGCGCCGGTGATAGAGCAGAGGTGTGCATACTTACTTAGATCAATCATGTTTCGTTTCCCGCGTTTTCCTGTTCTTTCAGGCTATCGCGAAACGGGATCCCGCGGCAGGAAATCGTTAGCAGAAGGGAGAGAAGGACGTAACCGTTTGCAATTATCTAGGTGATTAGGCGGCCCGACGTCGACGAATATCGCAGCCCGTACCGGCCGAACGATGCCCACCGATATCCCGCCGAACGTGAGGATTCACGCGGAACGGAACAAACTCGCGGGCAACCTACATACATACGGGAACGTCACGCTTTCTTGCGCTTAGCGGGCCGTTTTGTCACTCCGCGTGTCGGTTATCAGCTGGCGACGAAGCGTGCGCGCGCGCGGCAAAAACGAATATTCGCGGGAAGATCTGGGACAGGATACCGTGCCACGCTCGATCTAATTTTCAAGCCGCCGCGTTTCCACTTTAATGAACATTCCAGCGAAGAATTTGGTAAGAGACGCGACTTTCTAGAGATAAGAATGTCGTTCGGTGTGTCTTTTGTCAGCGCGGATTTCGTTTCATTAACGGCGCCTCGTGTAAATCTCCCGACGTCACCGGCGAATCCGGTTGGCTTTCTTCGAACGGAAAGGCATCTGCACGAATCGAACAACTCGCGTTGTCATTGGGGACAACTATTCGAGAAGAAAGTAGAGAACAACTGAATATTTGAAAGAATCGAAAGAAACTGATAGCGAAGCATCGGTCCTCGCGCGGGCAGGAGAGGCTAAAGGAGATAAATTTCCGGAATTTTTCGTTGGCAAAGGTATCGGTCACGGGATCTCTCGAGAAGGTTCCGAGAAAGCGATCGCGTTCCCCGCACGATCAGCTCGTGCACGGGTTTCAGGGTTAATAGGATACTCCGTGGATGATTTCCCGGCGTTAATCATATCGCCGCTGACAAATCGCCTCCCTCGCAGCCCCGCGACGCGTACAAATGCTGGCGGCGCGATCGCCGGGCGCAGAATTCGATACATCCGACGGCGCGCGTTAATGCACGTCCGGATGTTAAATCCGTAGCCCGTTTGAAACGCGCGAAGCTAAAGAGCGACTCTTCCGACGATTCCTCCAGCCGAGCGTCGGTGACCGAGCGCGGGACAGCGCGCACACGGGACAAAACGGGGCTTATAAATTGAGTAGTCGAATGGTATGCGGCATGCATAATTAATCGGCGGAATTATGCGAGCGAGGTATTCACGAGTTAGTCCCCCGGATCGTTTCATTTGTACGCGAGCCGGCTTAAGTGAATTCTTAAGTGCAAGCCTCGAAGAATTCGGACTTTCCTTTTTATTTCTGGTTCGGGCTTGAAAAGTCGAGGCGAGATTCGTTCGGTAAGTGGATCGGGGAGTATTCTTCCCGGAATTCACGCCGCGTTATACCTTCCGCCGGCAACGCGAACGATCGAGGCGAAAAATAGCGGACGAAGAACTGGATGCGCTGGCTAATGGTATGGCGACGATTTTCGCAGTGATTACGATAAATAGATTAGGATCGCCTGGATTATGATAGAGAACGCGGCAATTCTACACCGCTTAACTGCCTGTAATCTCCTTCCTTTAGCACATTTCTGGGCCGTTTATCGAACCTACTCGGGCAGTGGCTGCCGCGATTCTCACGATGCGCCCCGAAGAGAAAAACGAACAGCCGGACTCTCCTCGTACGCCTAGCTAGACACCTAGCTAGGCTCCTGCCTACCCGCGTACACTTCATATCGACGGAATACTGGAACATATGCTAATCGAAAACATCCTGCCTGCGCCTGAATAAACGCGACGCTTGTCTCGCTAGCATCCAAGTTAACACGATTCAGCTTTTTACTTGGCCGTTTCATAGGCTCGCCTATCGGCCTGCAACGATTCCTTTCGGTATCGGCGTACTTCCCTGAACGTATACGAACCTTTTCCGGTTGTAGTCCCCACGGCTTTACTACCAGCAACTCCTCCTCCGCGTTCGGCGCCATGTCCGACTCGCTGAAAGAGAAAAACAAACGACTTTAATTATGATTAATGACTCGGTGCCTCATGAATAATCTAATGGTGTCCAGGAGCAAGTGTCGGACGATGTTGTAAAGCCCCTGAACGATCCAACGGAGATTAGAAGCTGTCGGAGACCCGGTCCTGGATCGACCGGTAATCACCTTCGCGTGTTACCTCTCATTGTGTTCGATTCGGTACTTTTTCCGGCGACGATTTTCGTTTTTACGGAGAACCGTTTCAGTGCGGAATAGCCGGTAACGCTGGTCGTTTAATGCCTCGTCATTTAACGCTGCGAAAATGGCCGGTTTGGGCCCGACTCCGCGCAAAAAGTACCACCGGCGAAACGGAGCATTAAAATCGGTGTACGTACAAGTTTTTCGGCCGGATTCCGGCGATTAATCGCTCGACGCCTCGCCGATATTCAGAGGCGGTCGGCAAAAACGAAGCGCGCCGACCCCCGAGTGTTTTCGTCGTCGGGATCGTCGGGCAACGATGCAGTTAATTGGGAACGTTCGACGCGTCAGGTGCTCGTCCAGTTTGTGGAACGACTCCGGGGAATTTCCTCCTTGGAATTTTCGAACGGTACCTCGTGCTCGCTCGTTTCGTTCCGCCGCAACGGAGACGGCCACCGGCGCGGCGGCATCGCATCTCCACGTCTCGCGTCTCGTTCATACGATATTTCGATAGGATCGTGACAGTTCGAAATTCGGTTCCGCGAGGCTCGCGATAGCTGCCGATGGAGCGCGCGCACCAGCGGATAGGTTCACGCGAGGAATCCTTATCTAACGGCAGCGGCAATAGCGCCGCGCATAAACAGCGCCAATTAACTCAACGAGTTTACAATAACAGTTTTATTAATTAATCACTTTCGCACCTCGGATCACGGATTCGCCGGCTGATTAGGCGTCGTCCAATCGTACAATGCGACGATGGAATATTCAAGCGGTTCTACCGGGACGGGGTTGCAAATGAACGTAAATCGCGATACGGACTATCCAGAAACGCTTCCTCGGGGACAAGTAATGGCCGCGGCGACTTTGTAATTAATAGTCGAGTTGCGGGGATCGTGGAATTCTTGGCCGGGAGCAGGAAACGCGGCTCGCATCCTGCGCGGGTTGCTTCTTCGAGCGTGGCTGCAGAAAAAACCGATCCTACTTTAACACTTTTCCTAGGACAACAAAACTTTGCATCACGGTCGGACGGGACGATAAATGTTGAGGATACCCTGAATCTCCTTCGGCGGGTAATCGAGTGCTTTATCGTCGGGCACCTCTTAATTACGAGCTGTTGGAGAACGCGAGTGGAATCATAATTTTCGAATAATTTCACTGGTTATTACTCGTGCTTCCGATTGACGCAGCCAGCGTCCTATCAATGTTATATTAATAAATTGCAGCATCCATGTCCGATCTATTAAACAGAGCGTCGTTCAACGCGGGTCTGCCGCTCGAGCGATAGACTGGAAAGATTGCCACGGTACGAGGTGCAACGCTGCGCGATGCGACGAGCAGCCGTGGCTCCGGGTGGACACAGGCCACGCCAACCGGATACGCTCGGTTTCGTGGGTAAGCCTGTGTAGTGATAATAGGAGTCACGAACGACCACGGTCACGACGCCGGCGTATGATCGTGTATCGACAGATCGAAAGGGGTTTGCTGCTACTCCTTCTTCCTCGATCTCCCAACGTTCCGCGCCGCGCCGGTCGGATCAGAAATATCCTGATAATGCGCGGCGCGGCGCTCGTCCCGTCTCGACCTTACGGGCCGCGTCGGACCGTGCCGATTCAGGTAATCCCCGCTCGTAAGCACGGGCTATCAGTGATGATGACTTTAAAGTATTATAATCCGTCGGATATAGGTTTCGAATGCCGGTGGACCTTTTCGCGGTTCGGAACGACGTGCCGGCGCTGCGACGCGGTCCCGAGATTATCGCGCGTTTTCTCGCCTTTTCGCAGGGGCCGGTCTTCATTAAAATGGCACGCTAACGGCCGGATCGCGTAGCCTGTGTTTCGCCAAACGGGTAAATAGGACAAATTTACGGTTATGCGCTTATGGATCGTCCGGAGATTCCTCTCGCGGGCCGCATACGCCGGGGACGAAGCGCAATTCAGCTGAAAGAGTTGTAACCGGGAGTACGGACGGGCGAGGTAAACGAAAGCCAATAACGCGAGGGAATATCCCTCGAACGTTAATTGCGGTTCGTCGCACTCGGATTAGAAGCTCTTAAATTGGCCTCGGTAGCGGACAGGCCTCGCGAGATCGCGAAACGCCCAGTGTTTTTCCGTCGGAATATTCGAGGAGAATTACTGCGGGCCATTCGACGTTTAACAGTAGCGCAATAAAGCACGAGCGGCCGGCGGGCTACGCGGAGAAACGCGCGCGTTCGAAACTTTCAGTTTAGCGAAACGATTTTTTCGCGCGTCGATCCGAGCACCGCTAGATCGCGATAAGGGAGTCGGAGCGGAATTTATCCGAAGTGGGAATGACTCGCATACCATGGGTGGATCAACGTCTGCCAATCAAACGCGTTTTGCTCGAGCTTTACCATCCAGTCGCGAACATGGGATTAACGCGAAAGACACGTGAAAGACGTAACACGACCATCGTGACGTTCGATCGGCGTTTAATAACAATTATCTCGCTTTCCGGTAACGCGATGGAACTGGTACTACGTTTCAAGGGGGTAACTTACTTTCAGAGTAATAACACACAGTCTATTTCACGGTAATGGCTGCCGGTAACCTCTCCTCCGCGGAACAAGTTGGTAGCAGTCGAACGACAAACAAACGGATCCACGCGGAAGCGATGGAACGAGTTTTCCTTTGATCTCCAACTATTTGCTCCGATTCGTTACGTGTGCACCGTGATCCACCGGCGATCCTCCTACGAGCGAATCAAGGATCTCCGTCGACCATTAGAATCCCGGCGCTGATACGCAACGAATCGCACCGAATCCAATGTCCCGCTCATCAGCATTAATCTCGCGGGACGTCCGGTTCGTCGGAGGGGCGGGAGGACGAGAGCGCGGTCACGGTGATTCTTCGCGTGTCAAAGAGGGCCGCCTCGCGGAAACGTCGAGGCCGCGAGAGCCGCGTGGCTCGTCAGATCCGCGATCTCTCGAGCGCAGCACGAGCATAACGTAGTAGCGAAGGTAGCCGCGGAGTAGGTAGATACTTACTCGAGGAGGACAGCCGAGGCATTGACCCGCGCGCGAGCGGTTAGTCACGCGTGCACACGCACTTTTGCACGCCTCGCGCACCTATACGTACCGGCGTGCGCGCTCAGGTGTCCTTTCAGGAATCCTAGCTGGCCGCGAGCGATCCCGCGGCCCGCGAGACGCCGAGCAATCGGAAAAACGCGAGGCGAGATTCTATTCACTCGGGATGCCGGGTTCAGGGGCATCCGCGATTTCGGTTCTGGCTGCTAATCGGATTATAAACAACTCGCATTTTCCAACTTGCAAAACGGTGCGGCAATCTTCCAGCTCTCGACACGCACTCGGCAAAGCTCTGTTCGCAGAACCTTCCTGGAAATCGGGTCAAGCGGCGAAGCCCAGCTCCGCGATCACTGAATCATTCAGCCACGCGTGCGTCGCTGTTTTTCCGAGCGCGGACCGGTGGGAATCTCGTATCCTTGAGTCGCGCAGCTCGAGCGATTCGCATTCCTAGCCTTCGTAGGAACGATCGGGCCGGAACGAAATTTCGAAAATCCCAATCGCCTTCGAAAAGAATCGTCGCCGCTCGATGAATACCGGCGTTAGCGTCGCGGAACCGTGTCTATCGTGTTCCGTGCGCGCGAGAAGATGGTCGCGTGCACACGCACGGCTCGCGCAGACGAGGGAAAGAGCACCGGGGAGGAGATCGCGCGCGTTCCGCCCGTGAATAGGTAATGCGATGCGCGAACAGGCGCCATGACTCGTTGCGGCCGGTGTCCCGACCGCTTTGCCGCGGGTTCCGCACCGCGAAAAATCCGGCGATCGCCGATGCTGCGCCGTTGATCTTCGAGCAGGCCATTAGTGGGATATGCGAGAGCATGGAATTTCTGCCGTTCCGTGGGCTACATCGGCACGGCTCGTCTTTATGATAGTGCACGCCACGCACGGCATCGATTGCGCTCCCGTCCACTCGCCTCCGCCGGCTGTGATCCGAAATCCCCTCCCAATTATGCCATTACCTTCGAACCTTCTCCGTTTCATCGGCGATTACTTCTGAATTTTTTCTTCACCCCGCAGAATCCGAACACACTGGGCGTTCGTTAAACCCTTTTGTCAGCGCGGCCGCGCGGATCAACGATGAACGATGAACGGAGCGGTGTAGTGGCGACCAGGAGAAAAGATAATTGCACGAATCGGGACTGGCTGAAAGCGATCGCGTGTTTCGCGCTCGGACCACTTATCCGAACAGTTCCCGTCGGTCTCTTCTTCGTCGACCGGTCTCGATTGTCTTCGGATTGAACGCTCGAAATCCATTATCGCGATTGTTTCGCGCAACCTTTCTTCGGTGTTATCGGAGGATCGGTAGTGCAATCTTTCTAGCGATTTCTAGCAATTACATCGCGAAATCAAGTCCATTCGGCGGGTACCTGTTCTTCCGCGGGGCTATTACGGCGAAGGTCGCACGAACTAGGGGAAGTACAGTTTGAATCCGTGGCGCGGCGGGCACATTGTAAGCATCACGGCGCTCGTAATGCTTCCCGTCGGCTGTTTGCTCGAGGTGTATCGGTTATCTCGGCACCGCGCGGATAGATGAAGAGAGAACGCCGCTCGGACGGGAGCGCGAGCGGGAGCGGGAGCGGGAGCAGCGCGGACAGGCGCCACGACTCGCCGCGGTCGCCTCTCTGTCCGCGCTTTGAATCCCCATGAAAAATGGCGTCGATCGAGAGACCACGGATCGTCGATCTTGACGACCATTAGCGGACTACACGGCGGAGAGATTTTTCCGCCGTTCCGCCTCCTCTCCCGCCGCTGGCCGCGCGCGCGCGCACACACCGCATGGA